GGGCGAGTGGACGGGAGGGCTGGGGTGTGAGTGGATGTTAAAACATGGCGCAGCAGCCCGTGGCGCGATCTGTGACGTGGTCTGTCACGGGGTCCGTGTCGTGGTCCGTGATTTGTTCCGTGACGGGTCTCCGTGACTCCAGGCCGAGCCAGTGGCGGGCACCGGTGATGCATGACGTCCCTCTCTCGATCTCACCTGTCCTTTCATTGAGGACTATCTATGAACGGCCCCAAAGCTCTATGTCCTCTGTAGTTATTGAGCTTTCCTTGGGTGTAGTCGCAGAGGTGCGAACTGCGAACTAATAGTTGTCACGTGACGCCGATTTGAGGTGTGAAATTTACACCGCGATTGACACCGCCTGTCGGTGTTTTTGATGCATCGGAGACTTCCTGGATGCGGAAGGCGGAACACGGCTTTCCAGTAATAAATACCGTCTCCACTCACCGTTTTTCACATCATAAATTCGAAAGTTACCAACCGTACGGCGGCTTTTTTCGACGCCCGTGCTACCGTTAGCGATGTGATGTGGTTTGCGCTGCAAATGCCCGGGGGCAACGAATGCTAAACGGTGAAAGGTAGCGAGGAAATTGCACCGTTCTGCTAGGAAATGATTACAAACTGTCCAATAAGGTGACATAATGGATTGATCATGTGTATTGTTCGTGAACAGCTCGACGGATAGGTTTCACCTTGCGGAACTGATATCGGAATCCATAGTGGGCGGTCTTGTTTTATCCGTAATTGTCCCAGACTGTGAACCAGCAGCTCGTTTACGGTGTTCCAAGTGCACGCCGGTGTTTTTGCTTCACTATTTTCATGACTTGTGGCAATATTACTGCTCAGTGTGAATGACCTGGCTGTGGGTTTAAGGTAAATGTGTGGCTTCCTGAATCGTTATCATATGTTCTTTGGATGGCTATCATACGTCCGCGCTGATTGGATTGGGTATGTCGATTTCTTGATTTCTGCACAAGATCCATTTACGATCAGCCACGCTGGTCTGCTTCATCGGCACGATATGCAAACCTCACTGGGTGTTGACTGTTGAGTTGTCGACAAATGAAGACAAGCACCCTGAAAGCCAGTCATCAGCTCGTTTTCATCCAACCCTGATCGACTGCCTTACCAGTGTCTCTGACGATCCACGCCGCGTTGCCAAGGCGTCACCTCGCCTGGAGACGTCCCTCACAAGGCCCTATGGCTGTTAACGACCGCCGTGGCTCTCACGGGACGTTCACCAAGTACCGTGTAAAGCGGGCATTACGAGCGGGGCCAACTGCCGTGGAAAGCGGCCGTTATACCGGGACCGAGTGGGTAGCGAAGGGATGGGGTTAGCACCGGGAGGGAAGAGAGGCTGGTGATGGAGACAGAGAGACAGGTGGCAAGATGTGGTCAGATTTATCATCGACATTACGAGCAACGTGGCCGTCACAGTCAAACTGTCACGTTACTGTATCTATCGCTGTCCCATCGCGGTCACTGTCCAGTATTGCGTCCAGTATTGCGAACATTGCGTCGGAACGGGATGGAAGTTTGGTGTGTTGCGTCTTCACTAAAGAGCAGGAGTTTGGTTTCTCTTAACTAATTCGGTAGGCAGGTGAAGAATTTGTGGCGGCCCGTAAGCAGAAGAACCAAGAACCACGAGGAATCACAACAGTTCATGCCTTATATGAGAATAATGCGACGCACTCCCTCCAGCAGCTGTTTAGGAAGACTATGATCGTGTGTCCTCGGAACGGATTCATGGGCGGGGATCAGCTACCGTTTTGGAAGCTCGCGGTCTGCCGAGGGATGAGCGCAGTGGCTGCAAAGAGAAGGGGCAGGAAGAAAGAGGTTTATTTGTGCATTGCGGGACTGGTAGCAGGACACAGGTGCTTGCCATAACATTCTGAATTTTCCTGAATATTCTCTCTTAGCTTCAGTTTTTTTTTTCTCTTTGATATCAACGATCATCAAGATCATTAACGATTGTGAAACTTTGATTTATCCCAGGCGGTACGTTTGCTTCAACCACTTTCCAAGATCACTGGCCTTGTCCAACAGTCGATAGAGACCGACCATGTGATATTAGCAGCACGGAACACGCTGCGCCCACACGCAGCTCGCATTACCCACAAGTGTGGCACGACCCACAAGTGAGAGCGCTTCTCTCTCCACTAGTACGGCGGCGTTTAGCGAGACGTGCGCGAAACCTGCCGGTGATGTGTGCCCGTCTGACCTCAGTGACCTCAGTAACCCGGCGCCGCCCTGATCGGAGCGCCGTGACGGCTCGAAAATCGCGGTCACACCGACGGGAGAGAGCTGTCTCGAATCTGACGGAGACGGCAGAGGGAGGGAACTCTCGCGGAGTTGTTTGCGTTGCCTGATGGTTCGCCTCCTCCGCTGCCGTGCTGTGGTCGAGTCCGTGGTTTGGGAGGCAGAAAGACCGGTCGGAGAGAGATGATTGGCTCGGAAAATCGGATTATCAGCCGTGAAGGAGACGGCGAGAGATGAACAGGTGGGCTGTAGCCGGCGGGCGGATGAGCTTCAGTCAGCTGACTGCCAGAGCTCGGATGAGGCAGGTGTTCTCGTCAATGGCGGAATGGCTGATAATCTGATAAAGTTCCTTTCATTCACGAGAAACTCTCGCTTGCTCCTCAGTCGTGGATGTGCCTGCCATGTCTTTCCCCATTGCCCAGATATGGTTCACCTATCGGTGATGTTCTAAGGCCGGTCCGGCGACTGCTGTCGCTGACAATATGCCCTATCATCCACCACATTCCAGTCGTGTGCCAACTCTGTGTTGTGACACGACACCATGAAACGCGTAACGTATTCCGTGATGTAACCTGTCACTCGCGCTCCATACCGTGACAATCCAGCCGTCCGTCGAGACACCTTCGTAGCGCGATAGTCTAACGGGTCCCATTGTGTGCGGGGCGTATCGTCAAGCGATGGGGTATCGCAGGGTCCGATACTCGGTGTGGCTATTTATAGCGTGGCTGCTTTAAATGCCACTACGCTGAGTTTTTGAATGGCGCACTATCTGTTTTACATGAACATCGGACGTGTGTGTGTGTGTGTAGTGGGGGGGGGGGGGGAGGTCTTCATATTGTTGGGCAATGTTCTGTGGCTGTGTGATATTATCTGAGCCGCATAATTGCTCTCATTTTCGTCAGCACTTGCGTGTGTCAACTGAGACGTTAAAACAACCCATGCATTTCAGCGCTGACTATCGTGCTGGATGTCTCTTTCTTATAAGGACTGAGAAGCTGCTTGATCTTCCCACCCCAGTCCCCATCATCTGTACGCGTTATAAACCCGTTATCGCAACCCATCCTCTCGTCCCTGTAACGGTTCTTACGAGCGCCGTGCGTCATTATGCCTCATATCTCTGTAACGCTGCCGTCACCGGTGAATCGAGAGCACCTTGGCGGAGTGACCGCTCCGTGACAAAAACCGGCCCGACCCGGACCGCTGTGACCTTGTTCGGTCTCGCCGGTCCTGCGCGCGCCCCGGGACCATGGATAGATGGTCCGGTCCAATGGTCCGTCGGCTGATCCAGCTGGTTCGACGGTGGACCGGACCGGCTAGAACCAGCGGCAATGTGTGCCATTGTGTCGAGCCAGGTTTTAGCGTCGTTTTTGTGGGCGGGAGATAGACGAGCGGGCCGTTTTTGCTGAGTTTAGTTGGTGTAGTCGCCCGTGTGTGTGTGTCTGGGATGGATGATTATGTGAAGAGTAGGGCAGCCTCGATGTTTTATTTCGCTCGTCTCGGGTGTTAGAGGTTCATAGAAGAACTGAAGGTCATGGGCAGATGGATCAGATAGCATTCGCCCCGGATTAGCTGGTCGTCTCAAGGACAGTACCGAACTGGGTTTGACCTGTTCTCTGTCGCACAGTACTGGGTGGATGCTTTGTGAATGTGCGACAGGATGACGTATTCACCCAGTGACTTCGGGCGCATAATTGAAAGTGATAAGCGCAAGACATTTGACTGACGCACTTAAGCTCCCGCATTCTTTGTTTTGGCATTCTTGTCAAATGTTTTGGAGATAAGTCTGCTGCTTTGCCAAGGCTGAGCTTCATTGATGCTTGTTTGTGGCCGTTTCACTGCGCTAAGAGCTCTTACAACTGGTATTGAGCACCAAGCAGTGTCTAGCTAGCTCTTTTTGATACGCATCTTCCAGTCAAATGCGCTGGGCAGTTAGCTGACCTGAAGCCCCACCTTCAGCCGACATTTTTCTCACGACGCACCATTCGCCACAGTCCTACATTGCACACCAGTGGCTGGCGTCGGTTACCCTGCTCCTCGCACGTGGAGCTTGGTGCCCTCCCTCCGTACTCCGCTGCGTAGTTAGTTAGCGCTGTACGGTCCACCCCTGCTCGTCTATCGTGGGAGTGTGTCACTGCGGTATGACCTCTGTACGGGCCTCTACTGGCCGGCCACCCCTGCTGCTAGTTGGGTTTGATGAGCGGCGGTCGGACGATCTGACCTGACCCCGGTCCGGTAAGATCCGAACGCCGATCACTGCCCGGCACACTGGGAAAGGTAGTGGCGGTTTGCCACCAATGCAATGGCCATTCATTAGCAGAAGGTGCCAATGCGTAGTATTGTTCACTGATAGCAGCAGATACTGATAACTGGGTGCTGATAGCTGGTCACGCACAACTGCCACTGACTACTGGTGTCATGTGGTAGGTATGCTGATCATTGACCTTTGATAGCCCCAGGTGCATAGTTTGATCATAGGCTATCTGCTAAAGCTTAGGCTTCTGATTATTGATCGTGTACTTTTGATCATGCTTGTTGAGTTTGACAAGCGCATCATTGTCCCCACTTGATTGTCCTTGTTTTGCGCTACTTGACATTAACGTTGATGCTGTTTTGAATGTGGTTGTGACATTCCTAATTTTACATCGTACCCATATAGTGTCTCGTATATCGTGACCCCGCGTCATCCCTATTGAAACTGTAACTCGTATGACTGTTGACCGTGTTTGTATGTCTGTGTGTTACAGAGGCTCCGATGTCACCGATTGGAGACACTCCCCTGGAGGACCACCCGCTCACCACCACCGACCAGCGGCTGCAGAGTCTGGGGCGGCAGCTGGATATCGAGATGAAGGTAGATACGACAGATACTATGGACACAGATACAGATACAGACACACAGACATACACCTACCAGCGGCTTCAGAGCCTTGGGAGGCAGCTGGATATCGAGATGAAGGTAGATACGACAGATACTGTGTATACAGATACAGATACAGACACACAGACACACCAACCAGCGGCTTCAGAGTCTGGGGCGGCAGCTGGATATCGAGATGAAGGTAAATATTTCGGTCAGCTACGGGCTAGAACGGAACAAACACACACGAGAAGCTACACTTGGGTCATCTTCTGTATGTCTTCTTTTCGCGATAGAAACAAAAATGGTATGAAGCATGTGTTGGACGTCGAGCTCTCACTCCCTCTATCCCCCCTCTCTCTTTATCTCTCTCTCCCTCCCTCCCCCTCTTTCTCTCCCTAACTCATGTCGGATGCACAGCTAATGGCTGGGGAATCACCTCCTCCCCCCGGCAGTGTCAACCCTACAATCCCAATCCCCTTCCCTGACTCACCTCACTATGCACTACTGTTAACGCCAGACCCCTTGAGACCCTAATTTTTCGCGATTATTTTTAAATGCGTGGAGGAATTTCAACCAAGCTCAGGACATGGCCGTTTCAAGACAGGCCGAAACTTTTACAATTTAGATATTTTATCGCCATTTCAATATTTCAGGCACTTGTCATTGACTCGTAATGTTAGCTGTTTTTCCATCCTGGATAGAGGCTTTCTACGTCATATGACATTAGGCTCCGCCCACGACTGCGGCATTGACCCGTGCCCATCAGCGACCTCTGTACAAACGACACCCCTGCCATCTGTGAAGGACTATGAATTTCACTGACGCTTCACGTGCTATGAGTCAATTGCAGCAGACGGTCAAGTAAATGTTAGGCTCTTGTTGACTCTTGTATATATAGGACCAAGAGGACCATCACTCCTCAACCTACTACTCAGTCGTGCTTCGAACAAACGTTAACGATTCCTAACAAATACGATTTTCGATGTAGGGTATCTGTTTGAAATACGAGGGAGCCGTATGATGTGAAGCTCAGGCAATTAACTTATTATTGCGTTGTTCGATGGTTGCATAGCGATGTACAAATCGGCAGCTACTTGGTGACATCCGACATCCCATTATCGCATTATCTGCAACGCCATAGGCTTTAAATACAGGTGAATATTTCCTAACCTTATGTCAGTTATATGCCATCTGCCCGTCCTTTGCAGCTTATAAAAAAATATATATATCAGCGAACATGAGTGGTGGATGCTCAATGCGCATTGTAGAAGCAATGCGCATTGAGCATTTATGACTCCTTAGTCATCATGTCGCTCTCTGGGCACTGTCAGCCAAGACGCTACGCACAACTCCGCCGGCTTTCGGCACCGCTCGCCCGTCGCCCGTCCCCGCTCCCCGCCACAGCGAGAGTGACCGCGCGCCGGCCCGAAACCGCCGCAGGCCAAGACCACAGAGGCGGGGCTTAGCTGTGACGTCATAACGTATCACAGACTGACTGGTGATAGCCTCTACACACCGGATGAAAATCTTGCTCGAAATTTAACATTACGAGTCAATGACAAGTGCCTGAAATATTGAAATGGCGATAAAATATCTAAATTGTAAAAGTTTCGGCCTGTCTTGAAACGGCCATGTCCTGAGCTTGGTTGAAATTCCTTCACGCATTTAAAAGTAATCGCGAAAAATTAGGGTCTCAAGGGGTCTGGCGTTAACAGTAATAGCCAGACTGCCGAGTGCTGACTGTCCTAGTACCTCCTTCGACCACCAGGTGGCAGGTCGGTCGCCACTCCCTGACCGCCGGCCATCTCTTGCTAACTACGTCCGTTGTAAGGCGGGCGGTGCGTCTGCTGATTGCGAGGTTGGTGCTTCGACCGTTACAACGCACTGTAAAGGCAATGACGGAGCGGTGAGAATACAATTCAATGAAGATTGATGATGCTTAGGACTCGAGGCTCAGTATCTATGCAGGATACTGTTGAATGAATGCAAGGCTGGATGCAATGAACGAATAACGAAGCAGAGATAAGAAGGGTGTACAGTACGGGCAGTCGCCCGGGGCACGGGTCTCCGCCAGCCGTCCGCTGCTGCTTACGAGTGTACTCACTCACCGCTGGCCCGAGGGCAGATCTCTGTGGTGAGTGGCCAATGACTCGTCAAGGATAGAGGGATTGTGATAGAGGGTGATGGGGATGTCTGACAACGGTGACGCCCATTTACTGATAGCATCCATACAAATGAATCGCGCCGATGCTGGTGTGATGATTTCCATAGTGTTCACGAATTCACTATAATATTGACCATTGCAAAGTAACGCTAGTAGAACGTAACATAGTGGAACATAGCATAGTAGACCATAACATAATAGTGGTTCCGATTCAACTCACGTAGCCACGTATACCAGCCCTGGGTTGTGGTGTGCGCTGAGCACCTTTACGGCTGTGTAACATTTGTCTGTTACCATGTCCCCGTTCAGTGGTAATAGACTCGCGTTTATGACTGTTGGGTCGTGCGTCATAGCCAGTGGGTGGATCCGGCCTGCCTCCCGTCTTTGTGTGTCTGTCTGTTTGCCTGTCTGCGGTACCGGAGGCGTGGCTTTCTCTCCCCGTTCGTGACATGGGCGGGGTGGTCGCGGCTGTTTGCAACTAGTCCCGACTCGTTTTCGACAATTGCCGGGTCGTTACTAGAGTGGAAAGTTTCCCAGTCAGGCTGGGCTTTAACATTAGACAGGGTTCTTGATGAATGCTCGGTGCACCCACCGACACTTTCTTAAATGTCTGCAATAGATGAACTGAGTGAAAACAGGTGTGCGATATTGGACTGAAACTCATCTACTGTTTTGATTGGTGTCTTACTGCGGAACTAGCCAGAAATGACCATGAAAGTTCACTCCCATTTCACTCACTCCCTGACGTGTCTCCCTCCCTCTATCTTCACCTATATCACATTGTGTTCTCACCCCCTGACCTCTCTCCCTCTCTCTATGCTTGTACCACAGTATGTGTTTTCCCCTGACCTCTGTGCCTGCTCTGGTCCGAGTATGTGCTCCCCCTGACCCCTTCATTCTCTCCTCAGGTGAAGCAGGGCGCGGAGAATCTGATCAGCATGTACTCGGCCGGCGGCCAGCAGAGTAAGAAGCTGCTGGCCGATGCACATCAGATGCTCGAGGACGCCAAGGCCAAGATCGACTACATCAAGATGCGCATCAACAAACTGAGTCAGAACGTGGCACAGAGCTCCGTCGGCGAGAGCCGGTCCATCGGTAACTATAAGACGAACGGCGGTGGTATCTGCTACAGATTGGGTACCCTGAAACCCTGTAATTAGCTTTAGTATTCTTTGACAGCTGTGACGACTCAGGTATTGATTGGGTCAGATCAGCGTCGAAATTTCGAGCTTTGTTTCGTTTCCATCCCAATGTGGAGTGTACTCTTCTAGCAAAGTGTCCGCCATGCGACTAGTGCCTAGTGGCTATACGCTCTCCCATATCGATCCTCTCCTGAAGCGTATGTAACGGTAATTAAGGTAGCGTTGTGTAAACTGTACTCTCATTGCTCGGTTCGACCCTACCTATCTCTCCCTTTCTGGACACGCGTGGTCCGCAGGGGCTGTTCCTATGGGGCTCGAGTGGAAGAAATAGGACAGGAGCAGCCTCAGTAGAGGCTGTGCGGTCGTCTGTGACTGCCTGTCTCCTCTCTCGCTATCCGAGACTCTGTCCATAGCCTGCCTATTCTCCCGCCCGCCCGTCCAGTCCGGGCCATAGCGCTGGGTTTTCCCAGCTCTCCTGCACCCCTCCCCCTCCCCTCCCCTCCCCTCAGCAGGGAGGGGCAGTGTTGTGGTGCCCGGTTAACATGCACAACACGTGCAGTAACACGTTGAGGGCTGCACGGCTATTGAAGGGCTTCTGATGTACTACCACCGAGAGGCATCAGTAGGTTTGGATGTTTTGCGTATTATTTGTTTGGTTTATTGATAAATTCCTTTATGGTTGCACAACAATGCTCTAAACCGAGTCATATTTTTTATGGTCGGTGTCACGATACTCTGTCGTCAGGCGGATGTTCCTGGCTTTATAAACCTAGCGGGTGACTTGACCTGTCGTTCCTCGTGATTTTATCTACCGTGATTCGTGATCTGTCGCGATTCGTGATCCTGCCTAGGGTACTCCACGATTCTTCCTTTCGCTATCTATGAACCTGTTAGTTACAATCCACGATCCTACAGGGTGTTCCAAAAATGTCCTGGTTTTGATTGCGTGTGACGGTTACATCTGTACTTGCAGCGTCTTGTGATCTCTAGCAGCTCTCGATGTCTATTGGTCAGTAACTGTTACCCCGCTTATATTTCATCCCCCTCCCCCCGTCTCTCATTCGCCCGTCCTGTCGACAAACCTGTGAGGCCCATAGAGTTCTAACGTGAGGCCCAACGGAATATTAATGTCGTGATGCCCGCATTACTGGATATTGGCCGTGAATGGGATGAAGCGGCAGGTGCTGGCTGGTTTAGACAGGCCCGAACAGGTGTGAGCAGATGTAAGGCGATTTAGGACAGCGGTGGTATGAAAAGTATTGATCGGTCCGATCCCCTGTAACTTGAAGTTAATGCAGTAGGTCTCTGTTTCAGTTCATTCATTTTGCCAACATTGTTAGGTAAAATCTGAGACTAGGCTTAGTTCCAGTTCAGTCTAATGGTTATTTAAGTCCATTCCACGGGTCATTCATATAAGCGCTCGTACTTTTTCAGTGATAAAGGGGAGGTATCTGACAAATTATTGTGTATAGACTTGGATTATGCGTACGAGACTCACCAACTGATCCCTATGTGCCCTGACCTGACCTCAGCTAACCTCTGTGACCTTAGCTGAATTCAGCTTACCCCGCTGTATGTAACCTTCAGTCTTCCCCCAGCCTCCGCCGCCGCGGTGGACCGGGCGTACGATACCAGCCAGCTGACCCCTCTGTGACCTGCCATGACCTGACCCCCCAGCCTCGGCGGTGGACCGGGCGTACGAGACCAGTCAGCTGACGCCCCTGGATGTTCGTATCGAGGAGCTGCGCCACCACCTGCGTATTGAGACGGCCGTCATGGACGGAGCCAAGAACGCCATACGCCTGCTGCAGAGTGGCAAAGTCACCGACAAAAAGGCGCTTCAGGAGGTGAGAGAGGGGGAGGAGAGGGAGAGAGAGAGAGAGAGAGAGAGAGAGAGAGAGAGAGAGAGAGAGAGAGAGAGAGAGAGAGAGAGAGAGAGAGAGAGAGAGAGAGAGAGAGAGAGAGGGAGGGTAGGAGGAGGTAGAGAGGTGAGGGGAGAAGAAAAGTCTTACTGTATGTGCCACCTGGTTGCATTGCAGTTGTTTATCATGTGATAATCAAGAAAAAGGTTATGTGCTTCAACTATCAAGCGTACCATTTCTGGTTGTGTTCTCGCGTAGGTACCGGTTGTTTTTCAATAGAAAAACACAATTCTAACGAATAGTGTTTGTCTAATGAAACAACAACCTGCGGTTATGTGGTTGACGCAAAGCGGAAGTGTAAATTGATAACTGGTGTGAAATAAGACCTCAGTTTGTCGTGACATATGGCCACAATTGGCTACATGCCATAAACCGATACATTTCCGTCACATGGACCGATAATACGCTCTGTGACTCCTCAATCACCTCATAATTTGTCATATGGCCCCGCGTGACGGACAAATCTGTCAACATTGTGTCGGGTAATGACAGGCTACCCGGTGGATAACTCCATGTTTGGCGGCTCGTTGGAGTGATTGATGATATACGCGCGCTCCGATGTCGCTGGTTAGTTTGTATACGGTGGGATAGGACTCATGGATTAGTTAGATCGACGTTTGGGTAACGTTTCCTCTGGGTGGATGCATGCACAGGCAAGGAAGCGCTCGTAGGCAGACATTCGAAAATCAAGCTTCAAGTTTTCCACTGAATCAACAACTCCTACTGATTGCACGTTGCAGATGTTGACTGGCATATCAGATGCCTTTCCGAGGCGCTATTTGTAGCACCGTATTGGCAGTTGTTGGGTTCTAGTGGTTACTGATGCAGCTATGGGGTAGATAGTCGCAACTGAATGTTCAGCTCGGTGTCATAAGGTCCGTTTGAAGGGAGAAGCATCCTGCAGATGTGGCGTATTTCGCGACCCGACTGCACCTGATAAGAAAGCGGCGCTCCGCGCGCCATCTGTTGAGCAGATTTATAAGGCTGGAGACTTCCACACGCGGGTAAGTCGCGTGTAAGTGGTTTGCGGGTAAGTTGGCGTTTATCTCGCGTTTAAGTCGGTGGGTAACTTTGCCCGGAGACTTCCATCTGCGGGTAAATAGTTTGTTCGCTAAGTTAGCGAACGAACTTACACGCGAGCCACCCCATGTATTAAGTTCGCGGGTATCTTTTCGGTGGTGCCTTTTTTGGTCCTTAGGTGGTTTTGAAAGTTTTTTTTTGTGCAAATTTTATGTTGAAGTGCTAGACAATAGTGCAATCATCTAGTTCTGGCTTTTTCAGCCAGTTCGGCCTAGCCGTTCGGCTGCTATGATTAGACGAATTTGAGGTCACCTTTTCATAGTATTGAGGCCAGTTTTACCAACAGAAAAATAGCCGCCTGCCGGAATTTTTCGCCTAAAGGCCGCTTCACATACGGATCGAGAGTGGTAAAGCCCTATTCGCTTACGTGCTTGTCGTGTTTACGCTCCCTATGTGAAACGGTCTTTAGACAAAAAATTCCGGCAGGCGGCTATTTTGCTGTTGGTAAAACTAGCCTCTGTACCTGTTGAGTGCCTGTTGAGGGGTTACAAATAACGTATTTCTTCACTGCAAGTGTCCAGATGTTTTCGACAAGTCATACATGAGTAATGAGAGCAATATTTGAGTTGACAGAATTTAAGATGTAGGACTCAAATTTTCAAATACGGAGGCGTTAAGTTCCATCGCACCTATCTCCTTGCCACCAGCTGCTATTTCGCAATCTTCGGGATAGTGAGATGGGATTCTTATCGCCTCCGAAATATGATCGTCGAGCCAGCCGGCCAGTGTCGGGCCCCGGTCGTCGCACTTCGTGTTACGTGTCAGTGGGGCGAGGACCAGCTCAATGGAAGCAATACGAGTGGCTGGTCAACAACCCTGGACAGGAAGAAGAGGAGCAGAAATTTCAGCAGCAGAGACAGGTATTTGTTAGCCGATGTCATGAAGACTGAAGTAAAAGACATCGAAAATAAACGACACGATGGAAGGAGTAATGAAGAACGAAAGCGGTCTTGGAAGAACATTGATAGGTACAGCCTGTAATGCAAGGTCCGAAGAAAAATGGGACGAGAAACAGAGTGACACAGCTCTGGAGAGATATGAAAAGGACGGCCAAAAAGGACCATTCGCGGTTTAAACGGCAGCAAATGGGCACTGGCGGTGGACTGGACTCGGAGCCTGCGCCGTTGGAACGCAGCCACCCCGTGACACGCACAGAGTAAACTGATCACTCGGTGATAATCGTCCTTTGTGTAGCATTGACTTGGACATCGACGACGCCTCACCGGTGAAGTGACGGGGCGGGGTGGGGAGGGGGGGTGACGGAGACGAACCGACGAGGGCAGACGAGTAATCTGAGATACGGCTGTTATAAGATCATGCAGTAGACTGGCGGCCGGCCATACAGAGTGAAATAACACAAGGCGCGTAGCATTATTGATGCTGATTGGCACGGCTTCAAACGCTGTTCTGGTTAGGTTAATGCAACACCACATCCCATTGTTACGGCTGTACTCATTGCATGTGTAAAAACGCTGATTGGGGGCCACCGGTCCCATAAATAACGGAATTACGCACTTGTTCATTGGACCAGCTGATCGCTGCATCCGGATCAGCTGATCGGGAAGCCCTTTAAACTGGCGTGTAAGTCGGCATTTAAATATTTACCCGCGTGTAGCTACCCGCGAGTTATTCGCGGATGGAAGTCTCCGGGTAAAAGTTGGTGGGCAGCTACACGCGTGTAAGGAAGTTAGCCACCAAAATAAACGCGAGTTAACCGCAAACTGGAAGTCTCCAGCCTAAGCGTTACTACGCTCACTCGCCGCTGCATCGAGTCGCTGTTTTCCGAAATCCGTCTCCTTATGGCAACAGCCACTTAACGAATATTCAGACATCACTTTTCTGCCGTCATTTTAAGTACCAATGTGCGGATATCTGAGACGCTTCCTCCTTCGTTTATGGCAGAGCAGCCGTTTTACCAGCTGACCGGACGTGCTAAGGTCGTTTGTCAGCGTCGGATGACCTCTGGTGCGGGCTGTGTATTTACTTTGGCCCCAGCCCGGGGGAGCGTGATTAGACGTCACGTGACGTGACGCACGGTGACGCCAGTGCAGACCGTCACTGTCACGTGTCTAAATAGACCCGGTGTGACGGATAAGGCGGGGTGGATGGCCAAATGGTTCCGAGGTTTGTTTATGGTTCGTGGTCTGATTGGTAAACTGATGTGATGGTTTTACAGGCGGGGGTTTTCAGATGGGCGTGTCGTGCTTTTGTTTTACGTCGATCGATTCCACAGCAGACAAGTTGGCGACTGTTCTGAATGTGTCTTCTCCTTGGCAAATCACTCCGTTTTTTTTTCTGGCGAGTTTTACCACCCTTTCCTCGCCTGTCCCCGACAAGTTGGCACCTCGGGTGGTCGCGGTCATCTCGTTTCATCACATTTCCGGCCGGCGGCCAGGGGGTTAGTTCGTTCTCTCCCCGATAGATGTCAGCACCGTCGGCCTGGCGCCGCGCCTGATTTCTGAGCGGTGCCAGCGGGGCTGACTGGTCCGAGAGAGACACGCCCACTCAGAAACAACAAACGACACCAAGGACAAACGACAGTGGAATGAATGAATGAGGTCAGATTTTGGTGTAGTTACGCCTTCAACAGCAGGCAGAACTCTCAAGAACAGAGGGGAAGCCTGGTCTTCGTCATATTCAGCATCTGAGTTACCAAGCGATCCCGATTTGATGTGACTGATCTCTCGCTGGCAGAGCGCTGAGATGACGAGAGGTCTCCGCCGCCAGCTGGCGTGGGCCCTCAGTTCCGCCCAGCAGACCAGTGTGACTGTGTGAGCAGTACCGGCCGGTCGACGGCAGAGCCATGGCTGAGCGGAGCGGAGGAAAGAGTGACAGAACGAGAGACAGAGTGGTGAACAAGTGTGACGAGAGGAGTCGGGGAGAGTGGCAGAGAAGGGACAGAGGACAGTGTCCTGAGGCGTGTTGCGGACAGTGTCACAGACCTTGTCCGGATCCAGGTCCAGATCCTGGCCGGTGTCCGGATCCGTGTCCGCACGGACAGTATCATGAGCAGCTATCTGCTACAGGACCCATGTCTCTGAGTGTGTCTCTCCACACCCCAGCCATTACGGGAAGCCTGAGCTTCTCGTGTGTCTCTAATGTCTCCAATGCCGCTCCAGGCAAATCCTGTGAAGTGGCTGGCTCATCTACTCGTGAGACTGGAACCCAGACGGAACGGCGAGGAACTAGAGAAGGGTCCGGTCTGGTGCGAGTGGTAGTCAGTTTGGAAGAAGACGGAAAACAGCGGCGTCGCCTGGGGACAGAGACGGACAGAAAGACGGGTGAAGAGACAGCTGAAGAGACAGCTGAAGACACTGAAGGAGATAGGGCGACAAGTAACCAAACCCCGCGCTCCGTCCGGCGCCGGCAGCGGTCGACAGCAATCACTCCGGACCGCACTCCCCCGTCCTCCCGGCCCCCGCGGCGAACCGTCACCTCTCCGGACCTGTGCTCGCTGGACTGGGGCTCGGCCGGGCGCCGCTCCTACGGCTGGCAGTGGCGCGGCGGATCAGCTTCGCCGTCTGTTGGAGAAGACTGGGGCACTCCGCTGGGCGTGTGTGAGGACTGTGGTAGACGGAGACCGGCTCGTGGGTATCGTGGATCTAGTGAGGGTGGTAGTGGTGATAGAGCTGGTGAGAGAGCTGGTGACAGAGTTGGTGACGGTGGTGCCCTGGACACTGTGTGGGCGGCACTGGTGACAGCTCTCGGCTCGTTGTCCCACGGCCGCCCCCGCCCCCGCCCCCGCTCACAGCGTCATTACTCGGGTTGTAGCGGCAGGTCTGGCGACTGTGGTCACAAGTCAGGCGGTTTAAGCGACAGGTCCGGCCACTGCAGTGACGGGTGTT